GGGTCGCTGAGGCCCATACGTGGCCAAAATGGGCAAATCCCCTCCACGTCAGCCCACAGCCTGTCAGCAGAGAGCTACAGCATTTTAAGACTAATAAAAACTCCAACACAATAATGATGCTTGGCCCACTTTTGTCTGAACCCACTACTTTAATTACACAGCAAATGATGCAGATTTGTACTTGAAGTGACCTTTGTTTAAACGTGAAGCAGATCAAACATGAAAAGAATGTAAATCACTTTTATTGAGGTTACGTTTTCTGAGCAGTGTTGTGGCTTTGCTTTGCGCCAAATAAATTTTTTTTTTACATCAAATGTTATTTTCATGAGTAAACTTTATGTGATGCAGATTGTGATGCACTTTTGATGGGAATTCCTGTGAATATTCATAGGCACACAGTGTAAGATGAAAAATACCCTACCACCATATAAGAGCCACCAACCAAACTTGGTACAAATCTTTGGAGCATTTTGGAAAATACAAAATCCTTTCAGTTTTATTTGTTTGTTTTTTCACTACAGTCAAATTTTAGTCTAAGAAATGTTGGAATCTACCTTTAAAAACTTTCCATACAGTTTACAGTGTAAAGTCCTTTTTGTGTTATTTATAAACCCCAAATTTCCAGAAATATTACAACAGGCATAAGAAGAAATGTTAGCTACAGCATGGCAGATAATAATTACTGATATTCTGACAAAGGTCTATAATGTGAATCATGCAGACATTAGATTACATCATACACATTTTACATTATGTTTATAGCCACAGTATCTCTTAAAAAATAGCATTTTTAGCTTTAGGACACAAAACAGGAAGCGAAGATAAAACTTGGCCGTGACAGGAGATGCTGCAAGAAATATGCAGATTTATTGCAGTTATGTTTCTCTAACTGCACGGTTTGCCTGCTGCGTGTGGTGTACATCTAGCTAGCATGTGAAAAATGCTGGTTAGCGGTACTCTGGTATCAGTTGTCTTCATTATCCTCCGAACAGTACACGCATTATGCTGGGCCAAGAAAAAGTGAAAATGTGGTTTTAACTTTAACAACATACAACCTACATGGGGCAGCTTAGTGTCAGGTAAAGAATACATTTAACGCTACAGGCTATGAGGTGACATTTTTGTTGGTAACAACGACTGAACAGGAATGAATCAGTTGATTGGGACTGTTGATTGACACACTGGTTTTTACAGCAGTTTAACCTTTCAGCTACAGCACAGTCCTTTAAACCACAAGGCTACAAACTGAGCCCCCTTTAGAGGAGGATGAGTCATTTTCAACACGTATCACGTTGTGATAACACATGGATTCTCACCTCAAGCGCAACATTTAAAATATTTAGTCAAACTTTGTTCATATGGAAGGTGTAGGTGTACATGTAGGTAACTAGGTCATTTGTTTAGTCAGACTAACTGAGTCTCTGTCAGTGCATATTTTGTGAGATAAAGCGAAAATAATTTTTTCATGGATGGTTTTCAGGATCATCCTGAAACGACTGAGACACAACACTAGAGAATTCTCTCCATATTTGAAGATTAGTGATATCTGCTTATAGTCTGGGCAATTAAACTTGAACACTTTGTCATTTAACAAAAATGAAATAATAATTACAGCATTTTGTTAGCACCGTGCAGTCATGTTAATGACATAATAATGTATTCATGTTGCATCTCCTAGTTCCAAGTTTGAGAAATATCTGACACTGATTCCATCAAGTGTCTGAATTTCTTGGATTTCAGCAAAAACAGCTAATTAACACTATTAATGTTGTGGTAATACAAGGTGTGAATATTTCTTCCCTTTCTGCTGACATCAAAGCCTCATGGGAACTGTAGTTTTTGAATGTTAAACTAGTCACAAGGTGTAAAAAGCCTGACATACCTGTAATTTTTTTTAGTTTTCAGGGTTTATTTATTCAGGATCACAAAATATTTTTGGACAATTTCCTGTAATCTCGAAGTACTCACTTCTTGTTATGTTGTGCTGAATACATTTTGGGAGAACAGCTTTGACAGCTTGTCGCATCCATACCTGAAAACATTTATTAATGTCAAGCTCCTAAAATAATTTGAGGCCATTATTTTACTGGATATTTCTGAGATTTAAAAAAACAACCACTGAGTTTCACAGTCATGAATACAACTTGGATCTTAACGTGAACAATATTTATTTTCTAAACCTGTTTCTTAGAATAATCATTTAATAATTAACCTTTTTTTTCTCCAGCCAATTGTTCAAATTCCAAAGATTTGATCTAGAATGGTATAAAATAGAGAAAAGCAGCAAATAATTACAGTCAAGGAGCTGGAGATCAGAGATATTTGTTTTTTTAAAAATAGTCATTCATAATTGACTTACTGGTTCATCCTCTAATTATCTGAATCATGAGGAGCACAAAATAACTTTTCATGCACAATTTTATTCTCTTATTCTATAATGTAAAGCAAATGTTTGGCATCTTTTTTTGCTGTGTCCTTTCCAGCACTTGAATGTGACACATTTTCCTAGTGATGGTGTCTGCATGGAGGTGATCTTGTCCAAAAGTAGTGGATGCAAATGAAGGCAGCGGATTTCCACACTGGCACATTTGCAGGCAGCAGGGCCCCTATAGCTGCTTCTGCAGTAAAGTTTCACACACATAAACACACTGCAGGAACACTGCAGTCTCTATATGTATGTCACATAACCTCCGCCTACACACACTACACCCACACACATCCTTGCCCAAAACACCCACACCAGTGTAATGTGTGCAAAGACACACACACACATTGCCCCTATACACACACCCCACCCACGCAGGCACACACGTGTTCAGTCAGACATAAGCCACTCATACCATCCCACACTTTCTCAACAGACACAAAGTAAGACTCTGCTAACCAGGGAGCCTGTGCAAACACACCAGCTTTAGCCCTGCACATTCACACACAAATTCTCTCAGTACACAGAACATGTGGCCTTGTACGGCAGTAAATTAGAAAAATACCTTGTGCTTTTATAGAAAGAAACCCTGCTTGGCTGCTACTTTCTGACCAGATTTTTTATTTCACATTTTCTTTTCCTTGCCAGTGAAGTCACATTCACGCCCGTCTACAATGTGTCTGCCACAACACTGGGTGGAGGCGACAATAGGAGGCACCAAACTCCAGACAAGAGCAGTGTTTCGTTTTTTTCTTTAGTGAAAATTTTTAATTCTTGTTTTTGGCATCACAGTCATGCTGTAACCCATATTCCTTCCAAATGAACAGGGACACTCCATGACAAGCACTACCACCGCCTGGAGACTGAATCATGCTGCTCTGTTGTTCCTCTGTTTTTTTTTTTTCATCCAAAAGAGGAACTTGGATGAAAAGAGCTGCTTTTTTAGATCGCAAAGTGTTGAGGATGTGGGTTGGTGGGAAGGGGAGGGAGGAGACAGAGGGGAGGGAGAAGGGGAGCAGTGCAGCGTGGGCGCTCTGACAGGGCGAGGGGCTGACAGGCCCAGGCGTGGGCGTGTCATTGAAATGTGTTTCTACGCCAGGGGGGAGAAGAAGAGAAAAAAAGTTGCAGGAAAAGAAAAGGAGAAGAAGAAAGAAAGAGCAAGGCAAGCCACTGCAGAAATTAAACGAGCAGGCGTCTCCTGAAAAGTGAAATATAAAGAGGCTTCTTGCCAAATGAGAAACATCAACTGTTTAGAGGCTTCAGTGGGGAGGGAAGGACACAAAAAAGTGACGCCTACTCTTTGGAAATGATTGACAGCGCGACATGAAAGCAGATTGCTGCTGTTGTGTGGAAACCTTGTATCTCTCGCTCTTGGCGGTTTTTAATGTTTACAGGACTAAACTGAAGGAATTTGGGTTTGTGGAAACATTTCAAACCTGATCAGATGAACTAACAAACATCTTTTCTCTGTGGGCATGTTTGAGTATTTCTAGGAGATACAAGGTTTTCCACCAAGTGAAGTGCTCTTGGACTGAAATATGCATATATTGTAAATCCTTGTGTTTTGCTCTGACTTGTGGCCATAATTGTCTTTATCAAACTGAAGAAGTTTTTCTTCCCCCTATACTAGTGTTCTCCAGGAGGCATGAATTTGGGGTTTTGACTGACAGTGTCAGAATAGTTTATATAATATTGCCACATTTCCAACAGATACACAAACTGTTGCCAGCTCAGGTGCAGATGTGGGTTACTGCTGATGTTACACAAAGCACCAACGTTACACAAAGCTCCAATTACCCCCAAATTACACAAAGGTAAAATCCTGACAATGCTAGGTGGCTAATGCTACCAAAACAAACAGGTTAGCTTTAGCTGCTAACACATCCAGAAGGAAGAACACCACATCTGAATCCAGTCCGAGTCCTCTGGCTGCTTTTAACCCTCTCCATGTCAAACAGTCAAACCAATGTTAACCCTGGTTGTTGCTCTTTCTTTGTCCCACTCGCTCTGTGCAAAAGACGCCACCTCTTCACTCTGGCAGCCACTGGTTCAGACCTTTAGCTGCCCAGGGCTCCTCCATGACTGTTTGACATGACTACTGGTGAGTGGAAAGACTCTTCTTCTAACCTTGGCTAGGTGGCGGGCGGAGCTAATTTACAGACCATACTTTGACAACACAGGGTGGAGAAGCTGGAAGAACAACAGAATGCATGCAGGAAGCCAGACATCCCTTGTGTGTGCTGGAGATCCCACTACTTTGTTAATTTTTCAACAGATATGGATACTTGCAAAATAGAAATATTCGTTAAAATATCAATAGATATTCAAAGCCTGAGGAGAATTCAAATTTCACCTGATCTGATAAAAGCAAACTGTGGTTCTGTGCCTGACTATTTCTTGGCCTTACGTTTATTATGACCCAGACAGCGGACAGATATGAGAGTGGTATCGATCTTCTCATGTAACTTTGAACTATAAAGCACATCATTTCCAATATGCTGATCTGTTTTTAAAAAGGGATTTCTTATGCAGTTTTGTCTGATGAACTTGAGCTGATGTTTGTCTTCTGTGAAAACAATCATGCAAGTAATTTCTCTGCAGACAAGAAGTGTTAAGAAACAGCAGTGGTGTAAAATGCAGTAAACTGGGAAACTGGGACATGTGGGAACAGGCAGCCTGGGTATCGACCTACATCACGGTGTGGGTGGACATCCTATTTCCTGCCAGCACGCTTGTTTTAATTTGTTCTTGCTGTTAGTTATTGAGTGTGTGTGTGTGTTGTGTAGGTGAGAGGGGACAGGGAGTGCTATGGAGATGATACGCCTTCTCCTCTGTGGTTCTTTCAGGATTTGATTTGATCCCCGGCTGCTCCGAGGTTGGTCCATGGGAACGCCATTAGAAGGTCATATCTGCATAATAACACACACAGAGGCACAGCAGTCTGACGTGGATTTAGAGGCGGAAGGTGGGCGGACTGGAATCCTACCTGCCTACCTGCTCCATGTGTGCGTTTGGAAAATACATCACGGATGTTTGCATAAAGTTCATTGTTGACCTGGGAACAAAACCATTTCAACTCAGGCTTCCCTTGTGATTCTTTTCCAGAGCTTTCAACCATAAGACATGGAGCATAGCAGCAGAGTTTTCCAGAGATGGGAGTAAGTCACACATGTGTAAGTCACAAGTCTTAACCTTCAAGTCTCAAACAAGTCCCACGTTGCTGTGATGAGAATCAAACAAGTCGAGCCATACACAATTCTGTTGGTCTGACAATGTTATGGGAATAGTATGCATTTAGGCAAAATGTTCACAAACCTCCTCTGATTATTAATTGTGCATTCATACACTATACTGTCAGAAACTCTTCTCAATAAAATAAGTTATCAAATCAAATCCTAACAGCTTAAACTTAATGTTTGCTTCCTAGCTAATGTTTGACCCAATGGGTATGACCAGCCAATAAGTTAGCTAACGTACACGCTTGTTGTGAGTTTTGTAGTGGCAGATGAATTTTTGCGCTGCAGACTTTGCAAGCCGTTATTGACAACATAATCCTTAATCCAAATTTTATTATTTTTGGTTTAGGCTCCCCCTGTAGCTGTGTCTTGTAACCTGTGTTGCCAGGTTTGCTTGCATTGCACTAGCTTGAAGTTAAAAAGCCACTTTTAGCTTGGACTTCTCTGTTAAATTATCTATGCATGTCTGATATGATGAGTGCATTTTAAAAGCTGAACCTTTATATCCAGTGACATCTGGACTCAGTTTTGCATATAAAGTCCACCTCAAAACGGAGAAACTGAAATAAGAGAAGTGGGCAGATGCTTGATTTGGTTTGTGTGGCCTGCACAGACTGTAGCCTACCATACTTTGTTTTTCAGGGCATTGTGCAAAACTATATTTCTATAAATTTCTGCCATTATGGCTTCCAAAACATAGAACTTATAAAACCACATTAAGTAAGAAATTCAATGTACAAGTAAAGTCATGCTTTACCTTAAAGGAAAAGTTCAGTATTTTGGGAAACATGCTTGTCACAGTTAGATGAAGGATGGATACCACGTTCATGTCTGTATGGTAAACACAATAACACAAGCAGTAGCAGGGAGCCCAGTTCTGTCAACAGGTAACGAACCTGCTTTACTGATTAGCAGCTGCAGCTCAGGAGGTAGAACAGTCGTCCCCTAAACGTAAGGTTGGCAGTTTGATTCCCGTTCTCCCCAGTCAACATGTTGAAGTGGCCTTGGGCAAGGCACCTTGCAGGGACAGTGCCGCCATCGGTGCATATGTGTGAGCTGGCACTGCAGATGGCTGCCTCGGTTCTGTACCGGAGACAGATTCCTGGTGTGTGTAACGTACTTGGCCGATAAAAGTGATAATCATTCTCTTGTTTCTTTGATCCATATAACAACTTTTGTTTTATCCAGGATCACAAACCTTCTGCAGTCACCAGCTTCCCCTTGCTTCCAGTTGTTGTGCTACGATAAGCTAATGGTGATAGCTTCATATTTAGCATCCAGACGTGAATAGTATCATTTCATGTAGTATCATATCATTTCATCATGTCATTTTTTTCCCATCATTAAATTGACCCTACAGTCTGTAGGTGCCTGTAGAGCATCATCATAACAACCTTATTTTATTATTTCAACTTTCAGCATCAGCACAATAATCTTGTTGGATTTTATATTCCAGCATAATCTGCAGTATTTCTGATATTTGTTTTAGTTTCCTTCTGAAATTAATTAGAGGATCTGAAAACAAGCAGTCCCACCCCCACACACATTTAAACACACACACACTCTACAAATACTAGTTTTGTCCTCATTTGGGCTTTTGAAGACACATAAAAGGAGCAGCAGTGCTCACTGTAAATTGTACCTCTGTGCTTTATTTGACTTTTTCTGATATGTTCAGGGTGTGATGGTGGTGGAGAGAGGGGGCAGGGGTTTTGACAAAAGCCTTCTGGTTTGGTCCCCAGGGTGTCACAGTGGTGGAGGGTGGCCTGATTCCTCAAAATAGCTTATTGATGGGGAACCAGGCAGAGTCAGAGCGACTGTGTGTGGGGGTGGGGGGGGGATTGGCACTGCTGGCGGTCCTGATGATCCGAGGGCGTCGCTCTGCAGCCCGTCACCACAGAGACGTTCACAGGCTCCCTGCTCACTTCACTACACCGCTACTCGTACCTGCAGTTGTATCAGCTGTGATACACAGGAGATGTTTTAGTAATACACAGCTGTATTTGCAGACTTAGTGGTAGTAGAGTACTAGTACTACAGTACTACCAGTACAGGTAGAAATATTACTAGTAGTATATCTTGGTACTTTTTAAAACTCTAAATGCTGTAATATAAATACTTGTACAGTAGTACTGTAATTGTAGTAATAGTAGTAAAGTCAAGGCTAATCTTAGCAGTAGTACTATGAGAAGTCAGTAAAGTTATAGTAATATCTGTAGTATCAGTCAAACTAGCATGACTTGCAGTGATATCTATGTTTACATGTCATTTTACAAGTGTAACACTCAGTTGATGTAAAAGCAGTAATACTGTGATTAAAAGTAGCTGTAATAACAGAAACAGTTGCATTAGGTGAAACGGATCAAGTAGTAGCGGTACTGCTGATACAGGAGGTAACTGTAGTATCAGCAGCGATAACAGTGTTAGTCAGTGTTGGGCCTTAACGCGTTACTGTGATAATATTACTTTTCCCAGTAATGAGTAATGTAAAGAACTACAAATTTCAGTAATATTACAGTTACTCCATCCAAAAACAACTCGTTACCTTTGTCGTCACCACGGCAAACATTCATTAGAAATCTGAAATGTAATATTCGTAGAGATGGGTGGTGCTTGTCTAGCTTGTAACTTTTATGGATCCATAGGCTTCAGAAGAAACCCTGCACTTACCGGCAATTACCACGACATTCTCACAGCTAGGAGGTGTATTTTGAGGAGAAAGGGCGCAATTACCAATCTGTGGGGTGTAACAGTAAAGTAATATAACGAGTAGTGTAGAGAGTTACTTTTGACAGGGAGTAATAAGTAAAGTCATGTTTTTAAAAAAGTAATGAGTAATATATTCCATTTTTTGCGTAATGAGCCCAACACTAGTGTTAGTGCGTTTTTAAAAGAGTAATGAGTAATATATTCAATTTTTTGAGTAATGAGCCCAACACTAGTGTTAGTGCAAGTAATACTAAGAGTAGCAATAGTAGCAATTCAAGCATTTTGCATTCAAGTACAGCACACTGTTACAAATAGTAATCAGAGTTGTGTACCAGTAGTCTCAGTACTACTACAGTATGACAGTAGTAGCGGTGATATGTGTTGCTTTATCTTAGTGCTTGAACAAGACCTAATAATAGCAGAATTAATACTAATAGCAGTAGCACCGGCAGTGTTGATTGTAGTAGTAGTTTTGGAAGAAGTAGAAGTAGTAGTAGTAGTAGTAGTCGATTGTAGTAGTAGTTTTGGTAGAAGTAGTAGTAGTAGTAGTAGTAGTAGTAGTAGTAGTACTGGCGCAGTCGGCGCAGTAGTAGAATTAGTAGTGGTAGTATCATTACTAGTAGTAGCTGCAGTTGTAGCAGCAGCACTAAGTACTGGTGTTAGTAGTTTCATTGGTGGCAGCAGTGTCAGACCAAGTAATACAAATAGCAGTGGAGTTGGAAAAGTAAAATGAGTAATAGTGGTGGTAGCAACCGCAGTAGCAGCAGCAGCAGCAGCAGTATTAATAGTAACAGTAGTGTTAGTATCAGTAGCAGTTTAAAAGCGTGTGAATATGTTGTAGTGTTGTGGTGCTTTACATGGCACCGTAATAAACCACATGATCCCGTGTGACTGTTTGCGTCTGTTTAATGAGTTTTAATGGAGACCCGGAGGAGACCAGCTCTGTCTGCCGTGAAAGGCGCATTAGGGAAACACTTGTGTCATATGTAGCAGCCGAACACAAACCAGTAGCGCTCACACCACGCGCACGGTACAGAGGGTTTCCTGCTACGCGCCTCCTGGGTTGGAAAACATTCGCGTGTCCTGTCACATCGCTGCTGAATGTGAAATTGTGAAATCTGAATTGAATATTTGCATACAGGCCTGTTTCACTGACGCACTTGTGTGGCACTGAACTTTACAGACCCACACGTGACCAGAAGTGCTCTGATAGCTGCCACACACTGCTTTGTCATATTCATAGTTTGATGCGGATAAAACCCAACATCAGAATGTCTGCGTGTGCAGGAGAATTTCCAGTGTACGTTTACAAAGTGACAACACTCGTTGTCTGTGCCGGGCAGAACTTCCTCCAACATTCCCCACATTTTAAGAGACCCATAAGCCCCTTTGCATAATTGTCACATCCAAATATCCCTCAAAGTGCTTCTGGTATTTTACCTTTGCACATCAGCTAATGTGGCCGTACGTTACACCGCAAAACCTCACGTCACCACGTCTGGGTTTATCACAAAACTTTACATAACTGACATCGTCAGCAAGGTCGCGCTCCATCACTGAACCCGTTTTTACAAGTGCACGTGTGACACACCGTACATGTAAAATGTATTAAGGCAGTCTATAGTGAAAGTGAGCTAATATGAACATAGACACGCTTTTTCTAAAGAATCCAAGTATTTTAGAAATATGTTGGACCTGATGCAGCCTATGAAACTGCACAGTGATCAATTAGAAAATGTATCGACTACTGGCTTTAACAATAATAAGTGGGTCTGCGAACATGAAGTGTGCAAACTGCTGTGTCTCTCTGTGTGTCTGTGGGTGTTGAACCTGCCTGTGTTTGGTATTCCGTGCAGAAAGCCTCCCACGCCCCGTGTGTCCACCCACGCACGGATTTGCGTCACGCAGGGAGCAGCGTGGGCGAGAGAGAGAGCGAGCGAGAGATAGAGATAGAGAGAGCGGAATATCCCACTTTATTCTGCTGCTGCGTCAAGCTGCGTGCGACAAGGACGTGGCAGACCGGGCGTGCTGACAAAATAAAAGCTTCTGAAAACGGTTGACGTACAATTTAACATTTTTTGTTTGAAAAAAGAATAAAATAAATTAAAAACACCGTGGTGGCCATTTTTCTTAATTTGCAGTAATTTATTGGTCTTCTTGGTTGTTTTGTGTGTATTTGTAAATCTTTAATATCTTTGTCATGTTTGGCCATTCTGCGCATTTTGTAGTCATTTTGCTTTTCTTTGCAGTATTTCTGTCACACCGTAGCCCTCCTTGACAGATGCACAGACAGCTGTCGGTATTAGTTGGCCCACTATATGTACTGTAGGCCTAAAAACACCCTAAAAAATGTCATAGCCTACAGTATGGGGTGATCTTGTGCGTTTATCTCTTAACGCGGCTGCATGCAGTTCAGACTTGTGCCATGTTGAAAGTGATACATAAATGTTGCCATCACGACTTTTACATGACCTCGGTGCTCATTCAGACATGTAGTTCACATGCTGTCTGATTTGCGCCAAGGAGTATCTGAAAGGGTCTGAAGTGATTCTTATGCATCTCTTTGTGGTCATTCTGCATTTATTTGTAGTCAGTGTGTGTCTCTTGTATTCTGTGTCTTTTTCAAGCCATTCTGTTGACTTTGTATTTGATATCACAGCACTTTCTACTGATGATACACTACTACTACTACTACATCAGTAAAATTATTAATATTTATGAAATATTGTTACACTACAGTTATACTACTAAGTAAAATATGTGACTACTTCCTCCCCGTCATATTTTAGCCAGATATGAAAGTATATATCTACTTTTCCATTTATTGAATCTCTGCCACCTTCTTTGTATTTTGCATTTTAATCTTGTCCACAAACTTGCGACATTAAGATCAAATATCTTAATAGTGTTTCAGATCAAATATCTGACTGAAAGTGCTGAAGTCTACTTAAACTTTGTAGGCAAAGATAAAATAAACAAAATGTCACATATTGAGTATTTCTATATTCTTTCCTCAATCGGTGTACAAAATCAAGTATCTAAGTTTAAGTGGCATCACCACGTCCACACTGGGAATTCACCTTTTCTGTGCGCTCATGACCAGTGCTTTTATTTTGCTATGCCCGCCGGAAGTGCTTTTGTGTGACTGTGTGTGATTTGGCGATGGTGAATAGTGCAGGGGAGTGGAGAGACGCTGGGAGAGGACTCAAACACTCACACACACTGACACACACACTCGCACACACACTTATCATACTTTGCACACACACGCAACACACACTTGGAGGAAGAAGACGCACGAAGGTCAGCGGCTTCTCACTGATATTCTGCGCTTACTTTCTATTTTCTGTCAGCGGCAGGAGAAAGAAAAGTTTCTATAGAGGAGAGGAGTGTCTCAGTTTGAGCACGCCAAGACAAGCGAGCGCTCTTTGGCTTCTTTTTGCGTCCTGGAAATTATCGTTCAATTAATTCTTTGATTTGAGATTTTCTGTTTTCATTAACGCGTCTTGTTCTTGCCGTGGGATCTCCTTATTGCGGACCTTGATTTTGCACAAATTGACATTCAGGCTTTGTCTTGATAAACAGTGAAGAAAAGGGAGAAGAAGAAGGAGCAGAAGGAGAGAAAAGAAGAGAAACTGGACAAGGGCGGACCAAAGGGGGCCAAAAACTCACCAGGTAGGTGCAATTAGAAAAGGATTTATTGTGCATTTAGTTGCTGCTGCTTTTATCCTCAACACCGTCGTATTTTGCAAAGATTACTAAGCAAAATAAAGTAGGAAGAGTATAGAAAATGCTACAAAATATCATAGAAGATAATGTAAACTCACCATTTAGTGCCAAAACTCTGTGTGGGGGCTTTATGTTCATGACTGAGCACCACATCCAGAGCATAGGTCTCTACGGGAATTGTATGGAAATACTACAAGAAACGGAAATACTTTAAAGGAATACTGCAGAGATAATGTAGGTCAAAGCGCCAAAGGCTAGATTATAAAGTCATTACTGAGCATCTTAAACAGCATTTAAGAATGTATTAGAATATCATATAAATACTACAGAAGCTGGAAATACCTTTAAAAGAATGTTACAGTGCAACAACAACAGTCCATGGTGCCAAATGTCAGCTCACCACTGAGCACCACAGGCAGCCCTTAAAGACCTGTATAGGAAACTATATAAATACTAGCAGAGATGAAAACACCTTAGAGCACAGTTACGGTCACATTCAAGCCTCCTGTGCATCATACATGTGTATGATTGGACTGTTGTCGGAGGCACAATACAATAAAAGATGACAGTGTCATTGTGAACTTCTATTGATTATTACATTTTAATTCATTGTCATTGTCAGCTGTGCTCATTTGTATTGTTTTTGTCATTATTTGCTTAATAATCTTCCTTAATGTGATGGTTAAAATGTTTTTGTGGTCACACTCACATTATGAACACATGCACCACAGTGATGACTACTACATTACTGTTCCATGTTCAGAAACTAGGAAATTCCTCTGGAATCACAGTGAAGTCAGGGTGTTCCTCATTTTATTAAAGGCAGGGCAGCAATAGTTCTGGTCTGCTGTGACACTTCACCTGGAAAACTACACACCAGCCTTTAGATACATGTGCGTAATCTAAGCGTGTGTTTGTGCGACTTGTACCCTTGTGTCAGTGCACGCCTCGTTGTCCAGGTGAAAAGTCGAACTCGCTAAACTCGCTTTGTGCAGCAGGACTTCAGTTAAAGCCTGCCATTCACAGCCGCCTGTTACACTCAGACCACACAGATGCACACATGTATTTCCTGTGATAAAACTGGAGTGAGATGGAAGGCAGGTGGATCTCAGTCTGCCAGGGTTTGTGCAGACGGATGATTGACTAACACTAATAAAAAGCATTACCGAAGCTGTTTTCTCTCTCAGAGAGTGAAGTAAACAAGGGTTTCTGCTTGTAGCAGCACAGTGTGCTGCTTTTAAAGCTACAGCAACCAGGATTATATTATTCTCTAGACACAGGGTTGTCTGGTAGCTGATGGACAATTTACCTGCCACATCCACTGCAGCTTTGCTGTGGAAACCAGCACAAAATTGCCTTCTCTTCAAAATGTGACAACCTCGGTGTTACTGCAGGGCAGCAATGAACAAATACTTTAGTTTTTTATGAATCTGCCAGTTGCTTGATCAGTTGGTTAATCGTTTTGTATGAAAACGGTGATAAATGCTTATTTTAATTTAGTTTTATCTGACCAGCAGGCCAAACCCCAAAGAGATTCAATTTATCATCACATATTTTACAAAAAAAACATAAAATCTTCTGAATTTTTGCTTAAAAAAACAAAGATCATCATCTGAATAGCAGCTGATTAATCGATTAATCGTTTTAGCTTCAGCAGTATTTAACACCACCAGGTAACTCTGCTGTAACAGACACAGAACTGCTTTAATAAAACTGTGGTTGTAAACTGTATCAGATTGGACAGTATAGGTTTTAAGGCTTGTTCGATTGTGTGATACATGACTGGTAAATCTTAGCTCCTCGGCTGCATTCAGAGTGTTTGATGGATCTTTGAACAGCACAGGAAACCTGCTCCACTCACATCTTTTCAGAAAAGACAGGGCAATTTTTTAAACTTTATAACTCTGACCAGCAGGTAGCCACTGGCCACTGCTGTTTCCCAAAAGCATCATAAGGCAGAGAAATGTTAAAATCCATCTTAGGAACCTTTTTAAGCTTAAGCAAATGCACAGGAACTAAAGAAGCTCTTAGATTAACAAGCGACTCCTTCACAGTCAGTGGAGCATCCTAGAAAGCTCCTGTTCCTGCAGGTGCAACCAATAGTTTTGTTTTACTTAGGCTTTTATCAGTTTTCTTCACTTGGACCCTGATGTTGTTTTTTTAAGAGGCATTTGATAATAAATGAGTGAAAATATTTCAAGGAGAAAACTAACTTCAGCAGCTGCTTTGCACAACAGATCACCCAGCTTCTGCCTTGTCTCCACTAATCTCTCCATCTGTTCTGCACAAACTTAAACTGTCCTGATGGCATGTTTTGTGTGCTGCTAACACAGAAATGATGACATCCCCATTAGGTGATGGAACCTTCGGCTTTAGATTTATTGTGAGTTTCAGCACAACGCCTGCGTCGAGCAGCAACCAAATCAGAGTCTACATCTTAAACTTCCACCAAAGCCTCATTTTCATATGGATAATTTCTACTTTTTTGTGTTGTTTACAACAATCACTCTTTGCAGTGGATCCAGCTGCTGACATTTGCCACAGCATCTTCAGTGACATGCTGTTACACGTGCACACACTCTGAAGAAGTTCTTAGGAAACACACAGGAATTAAAGAATGTTTGTAGAAATTCAAATAAATTCTATTTGTATAGCACCAATCACAACAAAAGTCGTCTCAGGTCTAGACCTGACTGTTATTATTATAGAGGAAAAGCCCAACAAACCCCCCTTGATCAGCACTTGGCAACAGAGGGGAGGAACAAATTCCCTTTAACGGAAGAAACCTTCGACAGACCCCAGCTCTTAGTGGGCGGCCTTCTCGAGCATCAGCGATCGTTTGGAGGTATAAGAGCAGAATTTCAGCTTCTCACTTAAACTTTTTTTGTTTGTCCTTTAACTCACCTCTGTAACATTTTGCAACACTGTGAATGCCTGTGAGAAGAGTATAGAGAAGTTGCTCGTTTTCGAGCCGGGAAAGCCATCAAAGAGCCTTCCTCCATTTCTGGTCGGCTGGTCGAACAGCTTCAGGAAGCCTCTCTCCACACGTTGTTGATGACAGATTGTCCATCCATGTTTGTAACCTTCCCAAACTGATGACCCAACATTCACCCCCACTTCATGCCATGATTGGTTAGCGGTGTGGAGGTGAATGCAGGATTGTACTTTTCTCTCTGGCTTTTGTTTTTCAATTTTATGTGAAAGGTATGAATGAACGTCTTCCTGTAGAGACCGGGCGCCATTATCTCCCCTTCTGAGTTTTCACTTTGCCTTTGACTGTGGCTGATCAGATCAGGTATAAGCTCATTTGATCTCCAACACAATCAAACAAAACAGACTAGGGATGGGACATCCAATATATCATGATACAAAAACATCACAATATGCATCGCTTTGTCTAGCGATATATATCATGTGGTCTCCATACACCAGAGACTCCATATTTTTTGTAAATACAGTGGCCTAACAGAGCGTAAGTCATTATATCCAGTTGCTCTTTAGATATTCAAATCAGTAGAAAAGGGGAAAAAGAGGAATAAAGTATTCCACAGCTGGTCACACAATGTTGTCATTGAATTTTAAATTGTATTGTGCTTGAACCGAATGCATCGAATTATATCAAGAAAAAGTCACATGTCCCATCCCCAATACGAAGTGCGTCTTTTGTTCTCTGACCCGGTTCTGTAGAGTCAGAACAGGTACACAAGCCTTTGCCTTTAGATGTTATTGGACAAGGCTGCAGTTGTTTGTTTCAAACATTCCCTACATGTGCAACTCGCATCCATTGGTTTTGAAACTCAGCAGCAGGGCAGCTGATGTTTCTCTGGATCTACCTGTGGTAGAAAGTAACTAAGTACATGTATTCAAGTACTGTATTTAAGTACAATTTTGAGGTATCTGTACTTGATTTTGTACCACTTCATACTTCCACTTCACTACATTTTAGAGACAAATGTACTTTTTTGCTCCATTACATTTATTTTATATCTTATAGCCAGATTAAGAGGATCAGAGTACTTCTTCCACCGCTGGGGTCTACTGTATGTCTGTGGGTGCTTACAGCATTGTACACTGTCTTTTCATGTTGTACTCTGGTTGACTGATTTGCTGACGTGGGACTAGATTTTCAACACCGTCAAAATTTTGATGCAGGTTCTTTGGTTGACAAAGCTTCAAGTCAGAGCTGTTGCTGGGTGTGTCTCTCAGTGGATAGTTTCTCTCAAACTTTTGTTTAGGATGGCCCAAAGTCGCACAGAGTATAGAAGCTTTAAACATCCAATCAAGAAATTTGGGCTCATAATTAAGCCAAACTGGGAGACCAGTCCTGATATCCAGCACTACACTTTGTGCTCATCAGTTCACTTTTTCTTATCCAGGCATAGTTTGTTTTACATTAGGGTTGACTTTTGATCTATGACTTTAATTATACATAATATGTAAGAGGTAAGTTTAATGGTCACTTTTTCCACTTGTTTCGTGCAAGTTGGATGTTCTAGCACCAGCTGACGCATCATGATGCATCACGTCGCACACAACAAGCCGCCTCCCTTTCATGACATTATCTTCTTTTGCAGCTCTGGTTTGCTGCAGTAGTTTGAATGCCACATTGTGTCGACGTAAGCAGTAGTGGCAATATACAGTAGGTGGAAATTCAGCAGGTTGAGCTGCTGAAAAGGTGTTTTCAGTTCACAGTAGCCACGTTTCCCGGCAGGTTAGGATGATTTACTATACCTCGGCTGTCGGGACAAAGATGGTACATTTTGCTTTCTGATTTTAGCAGCATTTAATTTAATTTGATTTATACACATAATATCTAAACACAAAAAACCTTGAAGAAAATGGTTAAATCATACTCATTCAACCTGGCTGGCTTATTTCCGTGCTCTTACACCGTGACCCTGTTACAACTGGGGTCAACTGCTGCATTGATTTTCCTAGTTTTATGTTTTGTTTGTTGTTGTTTCAGCTGCAGTGGAAGTCGAGCGAACGCTGTGGTGGCCGGCTTCTCACTTGTTCTTTTGTTTTGTGTTAAGTACCTGTGTGCTCGCTCCTGCAAACTGAGAATACAGTGGGATCTTTGTTTAAGCCGCATTAAAAATAATCTGCCTTCTTGACTTTGTCCTGGAAGATTACAGCTAAAAGGTTTGACACATGATATTAGGAGGGAGTGTGGGCGGGTAAGAGAGAAAACAGCAGTTATGATGGCACGTTTCAGTCACTGCTGCACTGGTAAAAGTTCAGTGGAAGCTTTTTTCTGCTAACAACTTAACTGATGTGCAGGTTTGCTGAAATCACAAAGCCTTCTTTCCTCCAGTCAAGCGCTGTGGTGATGCTGATTTATATTATGAGTATGAATGGTAAACTCTCTCGGCAAAACAGATGGTTGTGTTGAGTTGCAGAGGCTAGTTGGACATGAGCCGTGGGTTTCTGTAGTGTCACAGTAACCTCCATTATCAGGGTTATCACGTTGACACCACAGCAGCCTGTTTTGTTGCTTGTCTGCTTTGTGGCCGCGTCAGGATTAACAGATGATGTACATACTGTAGCTGCCTGAAAAGCTGACTCAGCAACAGTAGCAGGAGAAGTTGTAGTTTTAGCAGTAGCACTTGTTGTTGTAGTAGATACAAAACCCAAGGTAGAGACGGTCACTGTATAGGTGATCATTCCAGTGGCTGTCTCCTCTCAGGCAGCGTTTTTCTTTGTCATTGTCTCGACTCACTCAGGCTGAGTTGAGGCCTGCCTGGCTCCCAGGGCTGGGGCTCTCTGGGCCTATTCTGGGCGAGGCGAGCCCACCACCTACACATCCTGCAGGGGTGGAGAGAGGCATGTGGTCTTCCCAGCAACCCAGGCCTGTTGACTGCCACTCCTCTGTTAGCTAGGCCTCCGCAGGGCCTCACAGACACATAGACAGAGTCAAAAACAAGCCTCTTTCAGATCTCCGTTTCTCTCAAGTTAGGGTGGCAAGTGGTACCGGGAGTGTGGTGCTGATTTAACTGTAGGCAGAGTGAATGACGGTGCACTTTGGAGAATAAATAACAATGTGACAGGCTCAACAGAGCACCCAGACAAAGTTTATTTGCAGGATTTCACTTTATGTGCATTCAAACAGAACATGCCATGAAAGCACTGCAAGAAATATCCTTCCTCGGTTGTAGATCAGCGTTCTACAAGTATAAGAACGACTAAATTAGCCCTGTCATAGGCAGCTTTGCAGGTGTACACATATGCAGAGTTGCATTCACTGTTTATTCTAATATTTTCACATTCTATTTATCAAACAGGGGCAAAGTAAAACACTGAAAATGCTGCCAGTGTTGTTTATGATAAAAATGTTTGGCACTCACAAGATTCTTGATGGAAGAGTCATCCAACCAGTCACCAGATTTAACCTTTTCACACACCAGTAGAAGCCTGATAAACTGAAATCCTGCTCCTGTGATGAATAATAGGTGGAGTCCATAGAAGCACACGGGTCCAGTGATTGTTTAGGGGCAGAATCTGGTGTGATATGCAATAATCAGTAAAAGGATGAGAGCAGGTTTAGATTTTTTTTTTAAATATTTAACTTCACATATTGTTTTGTCTCGTAACAGTGTTTGTTTTTTGTGAAGTTACATTTCAGGTTTGGTTAGTTTCTGTTCTTATTTGTTATTTTGCATTGATAAAACAACAGTTTAAGCTGCAGAGTAGTTCAGGTCTGGGCTTCTCTGAGTTAGTTTTCTGTGTGGATCTCTGTCTTTCTCTTTTATCCACATTGTCACCATGTCAGTAGCAGGCTAATTCTGGGCAAGACAGTGAATAAGTGCACTTCCCAAAATGACAAACTATTCCTATTCCAAGGAACAAGCTTGTCTGTGATCATCTGACTCTCACTGATGAACTTGTGTGTCCTCCCTCAGGTATGGCGGCGGTGTTGCCGAGAACCCTGGGTGAGCTGCAGCTTTACAGGATCCTGCAGCGAGCAAACCTGCTTTACTACTATGAGGCCTTCATCCAACAGGGCGGAGACGACGTGCAGCAGCTGTGTGAGGCCGGGGAAGAGGAGTTCCTGGAGATCATGGCTCTGGTCGGCATGGCCAGCAAGCCACTGCATGTGCGCCGCCTGCAGAAGGCACTGCGCGACTGGGTTACCAACCCAGCCATCTTCAACCAACCACTCACCTCGCTGCCCGTCTGCAGCATCCCCGTTTACAAGCTGCCTGAGGGGTCACCCACGCTGCTCAGTGCTCAGGATCGAGCCAACACCGCCAGCGTCAAGATGCCTAAAGCCATCGCCGCAGCCTGCTCCGACCCAGGGAAGCTGGATGTGGCGCGGGACAAAGTATCAGCCGGGTCGCCCCTGCAGGGCAGCAGCGAGGCTCGATTCTGGTCTGGCCACAGCAACGACAGCGAGCACAGTCTGTCTCCATCAGACCTGGGCTCCCCGTCCTCACCAAGAGATGCCCTGGAGGCCCTGGATGCTGCAGCTGTCCAGTCGGTCCTGGAGTGTGTGGACAGGATGGCACCGGGTCTTTCTAAAACAGATCTAGCTGAGGTCAGAGAGCAGCTGAAGAACAACAAAAAGCTAGCCAAGATGATCGGACACATCTTTGAAATGAGCGACGACGACCCACGGAGGGAGGAGGAGATCCGTAAATACAGCGCCATCTATGGACGCTTTGACTCCAAGAGGAGGGATGGCAAACACCTGACACTGCACGAGGTTGATAAATAAGCTCTTTACTGAATGTTTGAGGAATGAATTTGCCCCCAGGGATCCTCAAGGCTTATGTTTTTGTGTGTGTGTATGATCTGTAGCTGACGGTGAACGAGGCAGCCGCTCAGCTCTGTATGAGAGACACGGCCCTGCTGACGCGTCGAGACGAGCTGTTCGGACTCGCCCGCCAGATTTCCAGAGAGGTCACCTACAAATATACCTACCGCACCAGCAAGTAAGAGCTAGTGTGCACTGCCTACGCTGAGTCTGTGTGTTTAGCACATACGCCTTTCCAGCTGTAGTGTTGAAGAAATGATGTATGACTTGTACAGTTTGTCCAGTGAGCCACTCCTTATTCCAAAATGTGCTCCTGTGTCTGATATGTACATGGCTTAGGATTTCTTTGAGGCTTGATTGACATGTCCACATTTCATGGCATTTATGCTGCTTTTACTCTAAGAACAAAGCTGTAGTATTAAAAATTAGAAAAGTTTCTCACCATAAAACTTTCAGCTCTAAATTCTCCAACATAAAACATGGCCAGTCGTTTTCTTTTTTAGGGGCCAGACTGTCATTATAATTATTATTTTGAAAGAGTTCGTCACCTCTGTTATCTCTTTAACAATTAGCATCAAATAAGATAATTATGAGGTGGTTTTAAATAATGTTGAAATGCCTTTTCTGTGCAGGTCTCGCTGTGGAGACAGAGACGAGCCATCTCCTAAAAGGATTAAAACTGAGGTATGGTCAGGTTGAAATGAACTGTTTTTCCATTATATTTTCTGTGTAGATGTTTTTCACCAGATGATTCAGTGTTGTTTTTAGGCACTAACACAAAACATGTTTTGTAAACATTTTCAAATTCTAGCTTTCTAGCATCTTCATTTCTTTTTTAGCATCCTTTCTTTGTCTTTTGTGGTTGTAAACTGAATATCTTCAGGTTATGAACAAGCAGTTTGATGCCAAATGCCTCAGGCCTTGGAAACTTTGTTGGGCTTTTTTTTTTTTTTTTACTATTTTATAACATTTTTTAGACCAAGTATTAGGTCAACTGTCAGACTGATAATAAAATAAACCACCTGGCAACCTGTCAGCCCAGTGGTATAACATTTTTTAAATCAAGTATTAGGTCAACTGTCAGACTGATAATAAAATAAACCACCTGGCAACCTGTCAGCCCAGTGGGGGGTTGTTTGATTTCCCGTAGTTGGAGCGTCTCAGCCACACTGGCTTCCCTGCTCTTTCTTACCACCCACTTCTTTTGCTGCTTATTCCAAAGAAACCACAAACATAAAATGCATCACTTTCTGGGTGGAAATTGGACAGATTTTCTGCTCAGTTATAAGTTTATTAGAGCAAAGATCCACTTGTCTTTTTCTTTTGGTTGCTTGTAACAAGTGCCTGAAACATATTCTGCTGATTTCACTCATTTGGTTCATGTGCTATATTTAAAATGTAAAGACACGGTGCAGGCAGATAGAGTTCCTCTGTGTGAAGTCTGTGTGAAACAGAATGGACGAGCAGCAACAGCTCTGAGTGGAGTACAAAGCGATCTCTCTTGGTTCATCTCCTGACACACTTGGCTGAGAGTCTTTGAGCTCTGAATGGCTCCTCTCAGTTTGTAAACGGATGATCGAAAACATGTGGTGCCTGCAAACTCTGCAGGGATTTTAACCACGACCAAAAGCTGCAGATGAACCGACACCTGCTCACGAAGCGACTCTGAGCTCCTGAAGGGGGAATTCCTGCCAAACTCACTTTCAGGACTCTGTTCTGCGGAAAGAGAAAATGTCCCAGAGATTCCACTTTGTTAGATAGCAGTGGCAGTAGTTAATCTTTGTTTATAGGTTAGGGTTAGTACTTTTTTTTAAGTGATAGTGACAAAGAGCTTTGCAAACCAAGAACAAGTGAGAATTTTTTTTAATTGATATTTATATTGTTATATTGGGGCAAAATATATGCAGAAACAAGTGAAGGTGATATTGGATTATGTATAAAATTATGTGTGTTGTCATATCAACTGTTTTTACATGCTTGAAAGAATAAATCAAATCAAGGTAAAAGAGACTAAAATAAGGCGTGTCCAGATAAAAAAAAATGTAAGGGAAAAATAAGATTTCCATTATCGTATGTTATTTATAAAGTGTTTTGAAAAAGGAGATAAAATAGCATAGACTCCTTTTTTAATATGTCAAATAATAGTCATAATTTATTCTGTTATATTTTCAGCCCTTTCTGCAAATGACGGGAATTTTTGGATTATTTCTAGAGAATATTGACTAACTAAAACCAGAACAAGCCTTTAGAAACATCATATGTAGTTTGTGTCTAATTGTGGAGTGTAAACTCCTCCTCGAGTCATTTAACCCCCCCCCAGAATTTCCATAAACAGAACTGAGGATGTGGCACCAGTGGCACCAGTGGTCCCTCAGTTCCTGTTTCATATCTGGCCTTGATCCTATTTGACTTCTTTTCAACTGTAAAAAAAAGAAAAGAAAATTCCCCACAAACTGTGAGGGAGCTGATCAGAAATACAAGACTCTTACTATTTTCTTTTGTTGCCATCACCTTCAGGAGAACTTCTTTGACATCCAGGAGGCGCTGCAGGCCATCCACATGAGGCAGGAGATGCTGAGGGAGCAGCTGGCCTGCGCCAAGTCGAAAGGAGAGGAAACTGTCGGACGAAATCTGCAGGTAGGCAGCACTCAGAGAACACAAACCTCCGCCAAGGTAGCTCATTGTCTCCATGATGCCCTTCCACCTAAAAGCAACATTCCCATGATAGTGTCACCATCATAATATGATTCCTTGACCACGAAAACCCACTGCTGGCATTTGGAATCACAGTGATGTCATTATTAGTTTGAAGGTTATTAAAGAAAAGCTATATTTTACTAAGGGCGGTTTTCTTCAGGATCCAGCTCAGTAACTTTTGAAGATACATCAATCTGTTGACACCTGCTGAGTCAGCAGAGTTTGAGCTACAGTTTGATCTTAATCTGGGCTTAATGGTGCTTAACGGCTGCAGCGCAGCTTTTGGACAACTGATTGGACCCAGTTGAAAGAGTCAGGCTCAGTCTGGGTCTGATGTTGTTGACAGTCAGCTGATAAAATCGTGTAGTGTGTCCCATGCAGCGATTCTAATCTTAAATCTTAAGAACCAGCTGTTGTCATTAAGATTAAACATGTCGATTGATGACATCATGTACGTGTCACCTGAGGGAAACATACCAGATAAATAAATAAAAGACAACTGTAAAGTTTCAAGAATGGTGATTAAAAAGGACTGTAGTGTCAAAGTGCACTGGACAACTAAAGTGGAGGACACTTTCAAACACATACTGCAACAGGACTGACACGTTTCAGTTCCCTCTGTAGTGTAGTCCACATTGTCGTCGTCTCTCCATCCAGGATCTCACCTAAACTCTGCTGCTTTTCCCCTTTTTTGTTATTTTCCGCACAAATTGAAGTTTAAAATAGATCTAAATCATGAAAGCCGTTTGGGTCCATTTTTGTATTGGTACGAGGACACATGAGAATCAGTTTGATCTCGTGGGATTTACAGGCTCTGGATCAACACCAAAATTGAATGAATTGTTTCGTGGGCTGTACCCTAACTCTCCAAAATATTTCATCAAAATCATTTCATTAAGTTTGCCTTGCATCTTGTTTATTCAATTAAAGCCTAAGTGTGGCAAGATTCTATATTTCTTTCAAACTACTGAAAAACCTGAAAGCCAACACTTGATGGTAGTTGTAATGCCACAAAATCCTTCAAAATAAAACCAAAAAGGTTACAGGCCTGCACCAAAAAAAAAACAACATGATTTGTTTATTTCACCAGACTGCATTGTAAAAATAACCTTCTAAATTAACATATAAGCTTCTTTGACAGACCTTAAAAGTACGCTCAATAGCCAGGTACTTGCTTTCAAACACAGCTCAGGGCTTCATCATTTTTCAGCTGTTCAAAGCAGTTTTTAACAGTTTTCAAAGTCAAGAATAAAGTTTAACACTCAACTGGATCAAAAACTGAGTGTTGTATGGCTTTATGTTGTGTCACTGTTGAAAAATAGGTTGACATGATTGAAACAAGGAAATAAAAAAAATGCAGAAACAACCGAATCTGTAGCTCAGCTGTTCGGTTGAAAGCATCCTCACCGGTGGATGTGGCATCAGATTTTCATGTCAGCAGATGTTTGTGGCTGCAGGATCCAGTTTGGTCCCAGTAATGGTCTTCATTGGTTTCCATTTTGCTGCTGCTCATTCCTAATTAGAGCTGGAGTGAGGAGGAGGGCTGTATGATAACTCATTACCCAGAAAACAAGCTCGTGTTGACTCCTTCACTTCTTCAAGTGAGAACATACAGTGTCTCATGTCACGTACAGCTGTGTGTCATTTAGATGTGATTTCCAGAAGATAATCACTCAAATTGACCAAGACTGACAGTAACCAGACGTCATTGCTCTTTGTCTTTCTGCACATTTCACTTCCAGTTTGCATGAAACTGAGCTGTCACCCTGTCTGTCAGGCTTTTACCTTCACTCGCCCTCCACGTTAATGCTCACTGACTGGTGAGGTGGATGAACATTGTTTGTTTTGTCAGAAGGTTAGAGTGGATTTTTTAATAAGTCACCTTTATGTATGTAAGTGCTTTACAAACAGGAGAACAGGACCAATTATATATTATTGTATATTATTATATGGGTACATAAATGTATACACATGCACAAATACTGTAAATAAAAGTACTGTAATAATGGATAAATAATAAAATGTATTAACAAAGGACAGTACGGCATAAAAGAGCCAAGGAGTAAAATGATAATAAAAGTAAGGACAAAACTGACATTCATCCATCCATTTTCCTCCGCTTATCCGGGACCAGGTCGCGGGGGCAGCAGTCTAAGCAAAGATGCCCTGACTTCCCTCTCTCCAGACACTTCCTCCAGCTCCTCCGGGGGAATGTTGAGGCGTTCCCAGGCCAGCCGAGAGACATAGTCCCTCCAGCGTGTCCTGGGTCTTCCCCGGGGCCTCCTCCCGGTGGGACATGCCCGGAACACCTCCCGAGGAAGGCGCCCAGCAGGCATCCGCAACAGATGCCAGAGCCACCTCAGCTGGCTCCTCTCGATGTGGAGGAGCAGCGGTTCTACTCTGAGCTCCTCCCGGGTGACCGAGCTCCTCACCCTATCTCTAAGGGTGTGCCCGGCCGCCATCACGTTGGGCCTGACACAGACGGTCAGCTGCTGTGCCTCCCAAAATATGCCATTACTAGGTAGAAAAGGGATAAAATGAAGCTTGTGTCAAAGTAAAGTTCAGCTGCTAAAGAGCTGTAAATGAAGAGCTAATGACTCCATCTCAGCTTACACTAAGCTTGCACCAATCAAAGACAGCTGAGTGAATGCTAACATCACCCCATTCACTGCCTTTGTTCTTCAGCTCATTAATGCTGTTTGCGGACAGTGGCTACATAAACAAACTATAAAGAGAAGCAGATTGCATTTGCATATAGTGTATCCTACTCTGTGTATATGTTACAGTACCCCGAAGCAATGGTAAGACTAACCCACATACTGTACATGCATGCATGGTCACAAACTGTGCAGCACTGTTTCCAGTCAGTATTTTTGTTGTAATGCTCAAATTCTTTCTTAGTTCCTTCTCCAAACTATCCAGACACAAACTTCAGACTGACTACACAACACAAGAAAATATTGTGATCACCCAATATTACCCTTTACGTATTCACGTACTTGCACTGGTATTCTTTTATTATCTGCAACAAATCCTGCTCATTCTGTAAATAAAAATGTTTTAAAAAAAGCATGTGAATGCACAGAACGTGTTAGTCTGCAGTATCTGCACGGTTAAATTTTCCATAACAAGTTATTTACATACTAATATATTTCCATTAACAGTTATGGAAACGATCCCAGTGGCATTGTCCTCACATTCACCGTGCCAGCAGCACTACTCTAACTGTCGTTTTTTTGAATGTTTGGTTTTCTCCCAGGTGATAAGTGTGCATCAGAATAACTGCTCTGTTTTTACCCAAAATTCATAAAACTGAGCAATGAGCGATGCAAATCAGTGGATTTGCATAGAGAGTCTGGCTTTTAGTTGAACATAACAACGAGTGATCTGATAAGGACAATGACAGTTTAGTGAAAACAATACAAAAATCTCTTCATGAAGTCATTTTTGCCTATAATTAAGTAACCTGTAGCCTAAAGCAAAATGAATTTGTTTCATATAGTCTCTAAATGTGAGTGTCATTGTTCAGTTTAGTTTTTGACCTTTCATGATGTGAGCATTTATTGCTGAAACTTTGGGCAAGTATAGTTCAACTGGAAACAGGTTGAACTGGTGTTCTCACCTGTGAAATAAGGCTTTAGTACTCAAATATAAAGCAAAATGACTTAATAAACAAAGCTTTTGCAGTGAGGAAGTAGGAACATCACACATTATTCTGAACCTTCATTAATATGAAACACAATCACAATATGAGACATGAGAGTGCAAAGCAATGGGACACCGAAGAGGGAGCCTCAACATTTTTATTTTAAATTTCAATATGTCGGCAGTGTAGACCCCCTCCTTGAACCGCCACCTTATTGTGGTGGAGGGGTTTGAGTACCCGAGTGATCCTAGGAGCTATGTTGTCGGGGGCTATATGTCCCTGGTATTTTTTTAGGATGCCGCCCGCCATGCCCCAGCCGGGGCCCCCCCCTGGAGCCAGGCCCGAGGTTGGGGCTCGGATGCGAGCGTCTGGTGGCCGGGCCTCCCCTCACAGGGCCCGGCCGGGCTTAGCCCGAACGAGCGACGTGGGGACGTCCTCCCGTGGGCCCACCACCTCCAGGAGGATCCGTAAGGGGCCGGTGCACAGTGGATTGGGCAGCAGTCGAAGGCAGGGGCCTCGACGACCTGATCTCTGGACACGGAGACTAGCCCTGGGAACATGGAATGTCACCTCACTGGTGGGGAAGGAGCCCGAACTTGTACAGGAGGTTGAGAGGTACCGGCTAGATATAGCCGGGCTCACCTCCATGCACAGCTTGGGCTCTGGAACTTTACTCCTCGAGAGAGGCTTGACTCTCTACTACTCAAAACTGACATTCAAGCAAAGTAAATTTGTCAAATTATTAAAGTGTCTTGTGAAAAAAGAGACAAATATGTACAAAATGATGTCAAATCTATAGGTAGCATTAATTAAAAGGACACTGTATGAGAGCACAGTAAAACTATCAGGTAATCTGAAGTGTTTTCCTCCGTCAGATGCAGCTGGAGCGTCTTCTGGCAAGGCAGATGGAGATCCTGCAGGACGCCGCCGTCCAGGAGCGACTCCAGGCTCTGGACTGGAGGATCCCCCCCGCTGCCTTAAAGTACCTCAATGACACCCAGAACACCAATGGAGCCGCCGCCGACGCCAACAGAGACAACCAAGGTAGGACAAGTTGGTACAAGCCGCAGACTCAGAGATTTTAGAGTAATCGATGACTTTAACTTGCTGGAAAGTGAAACTGGAATGATCTCAGGTCAGTAGCAAAGTGAATACTTGTTTAAGGCTCTATAAAACTTGGTCTAGAATCAAAGACCTCTGATCTACATGTAGAAACGTTTACCAGGGTAGAACTAGAGGTGGGGTTTTTTTTTTTATTGAAAAACAAAAACACATTGTGTGAAAAGATGTTCAGGTGGGCATCCAGGTTTAGGCATCACAAAGTAAAAACGTGTGGGAGGCTTTCGATCTACAGAAAGGCAGACCCTACAGTTCTGCTGTGGGGTCATTCTGCTAGCATAGTCTGGGTCCTCTTGTCTCCTCGGGAAAGTTTTTCTGGATGATCACCTTTATCTTATGATGAAACATTTGATGGGAGCGGTCTCGCAGGACACGAGGCGTCACTGACTGGTCTGATGAGGATGACCATGATGTGAATCAGATGCTGTGGCCTTCACAGCCACCAGGTCTCAGCCCAGGTGAACAGCTATGGGAGATGTTGGAGCCACGTGTTAGACAGCGTCTCCACCACCATCATCAAAACACCACGTGAGGGAACATCTGTTGGAGGAACAGTGTTCATCCCTCCAGGAGCATTCAGAGTCTTGGAGAGTCAAGGTGAAGCTGTTCTGGTGGCATGTGGAGGCCCAGCACCTCACTGAGACTCTTTATGCTGGGTCGTCCTGTCATCAAAGTTTAGGCAGTGCAATGTAAAGAAAGTAAGAATATTTGAGCAAAACACAAAAATCCTAAATCTTACCTTTGTTTGTCCTGCTTTAGTTTGCATGTCTTTTTTATTTTTGCCAAAAGCAGAAAAGCTGTGATGGGCTCACTGCTGCCCCCTGTGTCCAGTCAGGGGAAACATACAGCTGCGGGTGCAGCCTACAGCCGAATAGCCGCCTTTTGTTGGTGCTCAGCTGGAAATAAACAGGCTGAGCTTAAGCGGACTTGACTTTCTGTGGAGTGTGGCAGGATAATTTGAAGAGACAATATATGTCTTGCCATAGATGCCACAGGATGTGGACGTGGCTCTGTGGATAGAAACAACACCTGTAGGTGCTGATTTTCTGCACCCGGTCATGGCAGCTGTCACTTTTTTTCCTGCTCTGGCTTCTTAAAGAAGCGAGAGAGAAAAGGTGCATCATGATTCAGGATCTTACTTCTCATCTCATTTTCATCCTTTTCCTCCTTCACCCACTCCCGACAGCTCATTATATCGCTGTTCCCACAAATCCCACAATGCACCTGTAATTATCACACCCACGCCTGTTTACCTCCAGCCAGTTGCCTGGGGGGGGGGGTCTCTCTCTCTCTCTCTCTCTCTCTCTCTCCCTCTCTCTCCCTTTCTCTAGTTCTCTGTCAGCCTCTCTCTACCTCCCTCTCTCTCCTCCCCCTCTTCTTCTCTGCTCTCCTTATTCCTCTCTTGTCCCTTTTCTTTTCTGTCATTTGTCATTTTGTCCTCTGTTTGTCTCTCTTTCTCACCATGCACTTTACTCTTTTATTCTCTCTTTCTGTGTCTCTATGGCTCTTTCTTTTTTATATTTTCTCATCCTATCAGTGCTTCCTTGCATGTATCTTATGCACATTAGCTAGCGTTAGAACATCTCAGCTACAAAAGTACAATTCAGTTTAACTCATCAACAAAAAGATTTTTCACCTCCTTGCCATCTCAAGGCAAGAGTCCACATTTTGTTTGAAACTTTATAGAACTAAAAAACAGTGAGCCTTGTGATCTGACTTACTTTATGTCCACTCTCAGTATATTTCAACATGTTTTGCAGAGAAAACTGCAGAGCTACTACAAGTAGTTGATGAATCAAATGACGGAAAATGGATTGGCAACAATTTGTTTTATCATTTATCAAGTAAAATTGTAAAACATGCGCTTGTCCTAGGTTTTCACAGGCAAGAATCTGATGCTTTTTTTCACTGATTCACTGTCTATAATTTTATATGACATTTCATTAACAAAATGATTACCTCTTTATGGTGAGAGAGGGAAAAATGAAATGTAAAAGCTGCGATGACACCAAAATGTGGCAGAGGTGTCAAATCAAACCTGCACACAAATGTTTAGACACAATGTTAAGATCATGTGCAGGGATAGACGTAACAAAGTTTCTCTTGTTCCATATAAATAATCATATTCCAATCCGATTCCAATCTTGAAAGCTAGTGTACATGTAAACTCAATAACAGTCTGTAAAATAAAGTATAAGTACATGTCACTAGTATGAATAGAGCAGCCTCACAGTAGAATATACAGTAAAATCTCTTCTCTGTCTTTGTTTCTTTCTTGTTCTTATACGGAGTAAAAAGGAGACACAAGGGATCAGCAGCTTAGCACACAGATGAACAGGCTTTGTTACCACTGAGGTTATTGAACAAGTAAAGCCAACATCTGGGCTGATGTTTGCTTTTATTCAGCTGGTTTTAATTCAGTTAAATCTGATGGAGAGTAGGCACGATTTAATTTTATATTGTAGTATGCCAAATTATTTTAGTAGAAATCTGGCCAAGACTAAATATTTCTATTTTCCTTTTTAGTGTTTTATTGCTTTGCCTTTATTGCTTTTTAATGCAGAGCTGTAGATTTCCACTGGTCTAAATTTTGTTTCAGAAGCTTTTATGATGTGTGGAAGTTTAAATTTTCACTTAACAGCTGTTTACAGGCTCCTGCGTGTACTGTATGTCATTGTAGAGGCATTTAGCTCAGTTCACACTGGGGTAGTCCAGGTCAAGAGTTAATATTCACAATCAACTTTCTTATGCTTTTGGCCAATGATGGGAACCATGAGAGTGAAATTACGTAATGAAAAAATGTTATGAAGTACTGAAAATGACTAATGATTCTCTGTTTCCCAGATGAACGGCCAATCAACTTGCGGGTGGTTAGTCAAAGCATGCAGGAAGGGGACCTCCCACTGGGCAAGCAGCTAGCCAATGAGCTGAAGCGCCATCACAACCACAATAACAACAACAACAATAGCAGCAGCAGCAGCAGCAACACAGATGAGACCAAAGCACCAGCAACAGGTCAGTGATTTTAGACATCCAGCTCAAGTTGTTGTCAAGCAATCAGGTGGAGGGCAGAGTGCCTCGCCAAATGACACTTTGGAGTTCAGGTGCATCAGCATTAAATTTGTTCTACAGTTTCTACTTTGTGAGTTTGGCCAAGGCTTCACTCTGAATTATTAATCTCTTTGCTAATGATACTGTGCTTTATATCTGTCTTCAGAAAACGGGACGTCGCAGCGGGTGTCCAGCAGCGCAGAAAAGAAGACCATCAAGTCAGAGCCTGAAGACTCCACATAGTGCCTCCCACCTCACCCACCCACCACTCAAATGCCCCTCGTTCCCACCCCCAATTCATTCTACTCACACTTGACAGTATGCAGTTATTACCCGTCAATAGATACTAAGTAAGCACAGCCACAGTAGAGCCTTAACAACCAATGTTGCCTCATGAATAGCATTTATTTTCTTTGATTTTGTCTTTGTTTTAAAAGGTATTTGCCAAAGCACCTAGAGAGCACGTCGAGAAGCCCCTCAGTGCTCCGCAGGTCTTTGTTAGATGTGTGTGTGATTTAAGACTGATCTGTTGCAGACACCTGTATACTCTTTACCTCTGCCTGGGTGTTATTTTTGTTGCTTTTGACTCTGGGGCTGGGTCTTAACTCAAACCTTGATTCAGTGATGGAACAAAAATTCAGCATGTTGGTAACACTTTGTATGAGTGCCATAGGCAGTGGCCACTGCTTTAAGGCTTTCTACCTTAAAACCAAAGGGATGGCAGTGCCCTCACTTTGGTCCAGACTGAAATACTTTTGACAAATATTGGGTGGATTGACAATAAACATGTAATTTATGGTTCCCAGAGAATTAATCCTGAAGACTGTAGTGACCCCCTGACTTTTGGTGTAGGGCTGCCTGTAGGTCAACATGTAACATTATCAGCATGTTTCCATTGTGCACACGTTATTAAGCATTTAGCTTAAGTAAGACTTAGTGTCTGATGGAAATTGAATGTAACACAGCTATTTGCATGCTGGCACCTCTTTTAGGCCAATGTTACCAAATCACTATCATAGTATTAATGGTACATATTTAAGGCAGTGGGATTTTTCAATTTGTGTTAATGGTTGAGGTACAAAGTGTTACCTAGCTTTGAGATTCATGGCTAGAAACGTATTTTCCTGTAGGTTGCAGTGGCTGATTTTGGTCATTTTTGACAATAAGAAAATCAACCAGCAATAGCCAAAGATTTAGCAGCATTTGCCCGCTTGTGATTGTTTTTTCTGGCCGTCACCACGTCTTCTGAGCCTTTCTTCGTTCTCCTGAATCTAACCTAGGTGTCTGCATTTGTACTGTAACTCAGATCAAACGTTAAGAGTACTGTATGGAGGGTGAGTTAGGATTCAGCTCCTCTAGCAGGTTAGTTTTTTGTTGTTCACTTTAAATTGGAAAACAGGAGAGGCAGGATTAATCCTTCCTTCCTTGCTCTTGTCTTTTGTATATTTATGGGAGGTAATTTAAGAAAAGGATGTATAGGAGCTTTGTGGAGTAACAGCAAGGCATCGCTGTCATTCATCTTGGCAGAATGGCTGGGCTAGTGTGCCACAGGCCGAGCTAATTGGTTCAGTTCACTTTGTAATTTAGCAAAACACTGCTGTTGAACCAAAACCATGCATCTGCACACAAGGAGTATTTTAGGAATAAAAGATGTTTTTCTTCGAAGTAATCCAATGAGCCTTCAGCAGGCCCTGTTGTCGTAAAATCCCCTCAACAGGTAAAGTTTCAACTGGAGACAGAATAAAGTATTAAAGCTGTGCAGGTATGTGGGTTTTCAACAGTAGCAGCAAAAAGCAAAATTCCTATTCCTGTGCTGATCCTTGTAGAGCAGCAGCCTGGGGTCTGTAAATAGTACCATGATAGCAAATAGTGCTAGCCTAATCTCTCAACCAGGGTTTTCTTTCATCAAGTGTAACTTTGCTGTAGATTATTGGTGTCAATACAGTGTTTATGTATGTAGAGCAAAATTTTAACAAAAGAAATCTTAAGTGTCACTGAGGAAAAATACAACAGCGTGAACGTGTCTGGTATATGAAAACATGCTTTACATGATGATGTTGATTAGCCTTAGCTCTTAACAGTGTTTAATCCACCTGTGATGATATTTCAAAGTTTTTGCTGTGTAGACGTAGATACATAAGTAAGTGTTCACTGTGTTTTTGTGTCTTTGCCACATTATGTAAATACGTCTGTTTGGTCCTGACAGTTTGGTCTAACTCTCCTTGTCCCTACTCCCTGCACATAGCTTAGTCTCACTCAGCGTAATGGCAGACCAATGCAATATTTATGTAAGTAATAAGTCTATTTACATACTATATGAATCCATTGTTTTGTCATGTGCTCAGTAACTTTATGTCTGTCACAAACGTCAGCGTGGGAGTTCACCTACGACCTGGGATATGTTTGTCTCACTTTTAGTGCACACAGCACTGTATTTGTATTTAATGGCATTGTGCTCTTTTTCATGAAAGTTCCTGAGGTTGTTTTGTTTCAAGAAGTAAGAAACTAAAAAGGATTTGTAGTCGTGATCTGTTGTAAAAATCAAGTTTACTGAAACTGAACTAGCTAGTGAATTCTGGGAGTTGAAGCCACCATGGTTCAGGGTTTCCTGACTGGCTCGAACACTGGCCTAGTTTCAGTGACTGTCGTACGATGTTTCAGAGAATAGCGCATGTCTGACCTGCCGTCTCACTGATCACCGTTCTCCTCACTGTTTATTGTAAAGTGATAGATTAGGCTTCACCTAGTTATGCACCTGTTTTTTAAACACTAATATATTTTATTTGTTATACAGCACATAAACATTAAACTTTATTTTTTTGAACTCTATTGTGTGGTGCATTCTGTGATCGGCCCTCCAAATCCACTGACCTACAGTACTTTGAGTATTTGTGTTGGCACTGTTGAAAATAGCCTATATTAATTTTTTTTATACATAAAAAGTTTTGATAAGAATCCCGTTAATTTGGTTGTGAAAAAATACAGTATGCACCGAGCATTTACGGCGTAAAAATAAACTTGTCAGTGTTGTTTGGTGAACAAACTACAGAGATCTAAATGAGATCAAACCTACCTTTAGCATTTTAGCTTATTGTCCATGTTAAAATTATTCCAAAATCATATGTGTTTATAGAAGATAGCTGATACTTGTAACTTTAACATTCATTTAAATGTATGATGATAATTTGGAGGGATTTATAAAGCTAAATGTTTAGTTACAGATGCTTAAACTAGCCAAAATGTTGGCTAACATCTGCCTAAATCCAACTTGCCTTGTAGCCGGACTAAATTTGCCTTAACCACTGTAGTCCAGCTTGGGCTGCCAATACTGGGCCAGACCTGTTTCTGGAGCTCAGTGAAGAAGGTCCCAAGGTCAAAACTGAAATGTATGTTATTGTTAGTTGTACACTCACATTAGCATGTTAACATGGTTTATGGTGCCATTGCTCAAGTCATAATATCAGCTGAAGCAACTAATGAGTGCAGAAACAACCTTTGTCATCCTGTAATAACAGGTTATGTCTTAGTAAGGCTGTAATATAGTGATAACAGTGTTTTGCTTGATTATATATTAGCTTCCTGCTACAGGGAGGAGCTGGTGGAGTTTCTTGTTCAAGCAGTAACTGAAATGTCACTGTTTCGGACCTGAGCTGTTCAGGCACACTCATCCTCCATTAGCAGCTTCTACAGTGCCTTTGAGCAAAGCAGCTGCTCCCAGTGTGAACGGTGGAAAAAGGGGAGACAGGTAAAAAGAGGTTTGGAGTGAAAGTGACTCAGAGCACAGTTCAGCTTCCATTAAAGGAGCTTCTTTGTCTTCTGTTTGTTTTCTCTCATGTATTTATTTTGTTGAGATGAGTCCCTGCACAGGCCATTTGCATCAGCGTCACATCAACACACTGTGAAACTGGCTGGTGACTCACTCTGACGCAGGTCCTTTTCACATACCTCCCATCATCCTCTTCCTCTCTCTCTCTCTCTCTCTCTCTCTCCACTCCCTCTCTCAGCCCCCTTCTCACACACACACACACACACACACACACGTAGACAGATATTCTCTGGAGAATAGCTCAGCTCATGAACACCCACGCCGGTTGCTGTTCACAGTGGCAGCCCTGCACGGCTCTCAAACGGCCGCCCCTCCCCTCCCTGTCCTCCTCCTCCTCCTCCTCAAGTCACCGATGAAGCGCACCCATCACCCTCATTCTGAAAGGAGCAGGAAGCTGACTGCTTTTGAGAAGGTGTGGGTGTTGGTGAATTATCGCCTCTCCTCCCTGCAGCTTCATTAGGGATGGCCTTGTTTGTCTTCCTTCCTTTGTTTTCTGCTGTATTGCTGTGTGCAGTAAAAATGCAGTTGCTCCTGGAGGATTTCTGCACAAAATTAAACTTTGAGAGAGTGAAATTTTTACTCATTGTTTCAAGAGTTCTGAAGGTTTCTTTTTTATTTATATTCAAAGATAGACAAGAGAAATCAAAAGCTGGAAGTTAAGGGGTAAACTAACTCAATAGAAAAGCTTTCTATTGAAAATAGCTTTTAAGCATAAGATGGGTATAGAGATCACTGTCCACGTAGCTGTTTGTCTTGTGAGGCCAACATGTCGCCTGCAAAAGTAAACTATCTCCTCCATTTTATGGCATTTGCCAGCTGGGGTAAAAAAAAAAAGATTACAGAGATTGTACCAACGTATGGTTTTACATGACAAGAGTTAAAATAATATTTGATATGATTTTGTCATAAAACCACATTAGAACTACAAATGAAAAAGAAAGCAGAGGACATTTACACATTGAGACAAAGTTACAATAAAAATAGAACAAAACAACTATATATGCAAATACAGCATGCATTAATCAGAAATATGATATACTAGACATGCTTAAAGTTAACAGAACTTACTGATTTGTCACTGTGGTCCAACACAAGACTTTACATTTACTGTAATCAAAACAACCTCTAAAACCAGATAATGTGAGTTTCAGAGGATCGGACACCATCCAAGGTCACATGTCTCTCAGCTTCTTTACTGCACTGATACACAGAGAGTTTGCATGAAAAACTACTTTAGGTTAGGTAGACATGGTTGCAACAGAAAACCACTGATCTTAATGTACATAATGCTTGTACATATGTAGGACATGTTTGGGCACATGGGTCAAATTTTATGCTTGAAAGCAGTTGTAGTTGAAACTGTTGTACAGACAGCTACACGCAAGGTACATTTACATTTTTATGACCAAAATTATGTGGACATTTGAACAAATTGCACCAAACTGTGATTTACACTTTACACAACATAAAATGAACAAGACAGAAACCACTAAACAGACATACAGTGCCTGAAATCTGTTGTGTATAAAACATAGTCATGTCAAGCATAAAAAACACATTGTTCATAGGTGAATTCTAAAAAAGAGTTTTAAGAGGTGGTGTATTAGAAGGTAATGGTTTGAGCATAAGGCAGCTTGTCCTGACAGCAAATCCCCTCTAATTTGAAATTTTGAATATTTGCATCTTTTATACCCAGTAAAAACATGACAGGACAAGCTTGCTGATACGACTATTGAATGTGAGGCTTAAATTGGAATTAACTCACTCCCATTCTGAGACCAGCACATTAATGAGCTCCAAACAATCTCTGAGGCTAAATTACCTCAGAAAAGTTTTTTTTTTTTTATGAAAATGTAGATTCCTGTAACATGTCAACCCACATGTAAATTCTGATGGAAGTCCCCTTAACCTTTAGACTTGATTAGGTGGAAATCAGAGTGGCAGAGTCCATGTTTCTTTCAGTAGAGTTACTCCAAATTCAACGTTTTTTTATTCCAAATGAGGCTTTATTAGTCATTATTAATGTTTTTGTTTTATCTGACTTAGAGCTCTGTGTGGGTGGAGTTTACCAAGATTCAGATAAAGTCAGATAAAAGTTGGGAGCTACAGAAAAGTAAACTGAAGCAACTTGCAGAATACTTTCCAATGAGTAATTTCTTTTGTAGGTCATTATTTTATGCTGAGTGTCAAACTGCACCCACCTGGGTGGCCAAGAAGGTCGAAACAATTATGTTTGACTCAAGTCAAATACAGTAAGAATAACATATTAATGACATTAATATTCTGTTTTATTTGAAAGGAAACAGACCTAAATGCGACTTTTTATCACTGAGATTGTGTGGGAAATTTATATCAGATTAATCACAAGTTTCCAAGAAATATATCACATGTACAGAAAAAAATGTGCTAAATGCACAAACCAAACAGAGCATAAAATAATTGCCTGACTCTCGGTCTAAGATATAACTTATAAAACCCTGTTTTTAGGGACCGAGACACTTTTTGTAGTCTATTCTTAGTTTATGAGGGTCACTGTTACCCGTGAACCAAACTAAGATGTTTCTTTCTAACCAGGAGATGGTGCTGTAAGGACAGAGACGACCATCAGCTGTGGCCCCCCTCAACCTAAAAATGTGCAGTACCAAAATGTTCCACACGGTGTCAGGCCAGGACAAGATATTACAGCATCGTGCTGCTCACTACATGGTAAGTACTTGGCGCTGTACATTAAAACCATTCACTAACACGCTGAAATAATTAATTTAGTTACTGATAAAGCTGCAGTAGCGATGTACACGATGCAGTTGCACTGTTGATAGTGCAGAGACAATATTACCGCGATGATATGGCGAGAATGAAACTGAAGTTGATCACAATTTTGACTTTGTTCTCATGTACAATAATACTAATGCAGTTGTGTAGTCTTTACTTGACTTGGGTATTTGCATTTTGTGCTTCTTTATGCTTTACTACAATTCACAAACCAGTGCTGAACTTTTTACTCTACTACATTTATTTGCCAACTTTAGTTGTTAATTTACATATAAAGAGTTATAATAGGTTACTCATTATAATCAACAAATACATTGTGATCTATCTATATATAGGTAAAATTCCTTAACTACCCAGTTCACTCTTTACCTTCTGGAATACTAAAGTGATGTAACCTACATATTATAATTATAGTTCAGTAATATATTCGCGCATATGTTATTCTGAAATGTGGCCTTCTGGTGTTTTTCTGATGCCACGGTTGCTAACTGATGAAGGTGATGGAGATAAATGATCCAAAACACGACTTGACTCGTCAGAACAGCAGGCGAGCCCGTTCAAATGATTGACAACCATTCTGGCCAATCAGATGCAGAACGGGTTATGCTCCTCCAATCAAAACTCCTGCTCTGCAAGAGGTAGGTTGTATCCAACTGAGGAAAATGTTCTGTTGTGTGTTGAGTCACCGGGAAAATCGTTACGCGATCGAGAAAGTCGACGCTCACCGGGAACAGTCAGATTTGTTCAAACGGGCTTATAGTAGTTACAATATTCAGATATTCTTCTTAACGGGGTTGAAATGTTACATTTTCGGTCAGCGGTAGCGCTCAAGGAGATATTCCAAAGCCAGCTGAAGCGTCCGTTGACAAGTACAGTCCGTGGTGTGAAAGCGGCATCCGCACCCGCCGCCAGTTTGGATGGAAGGTCGCCAGCCAGAGGGAGGGCGTTTGCGGGATGGAGAGCACCGCAGGACTTCACCAGAGGCTTATGCACCAAGGGCGACGACCAGCCTGACGCCGCCAAGGACGCTTCCGTGGAGAAGTGAGTACCGTTAGACGCGGTCTGTGGGCAGCTGTTAGCCGCTAGCTTCACACTATGCCGAGTTTCGCAGAAAAAACAGAGAATTTAATGTAGCCATAATTACTGATTGAGGACTGTGACGCGTGGGAACCAGTCCATAATATTTGTGTATATCCAATGAAATAAATGCACATTTACATAGAAAATATATGACGAATTGAAGAATGGATATAAATGTCTCAGTGTGTGTGTGTGTGCGCGCGCGCATGTGTGCTGCATATCTGACATTTAAAAGCAGCGCTTATTTAACTAGTACATCAAAGGGGCTAGCCAGTAAATAGTTATCTCAAAGGCTGTTTATTTGAAAAAAGGGGCTAGCCAACCAGCTAATGGCAAGCGGAGGCTGGAGTTTGGATTTGCCATATAACCGAGCTGTAATCAAAGTAACTTATTTAATTTTAATTTTGATTAATAACTGGTTGTCTAATCATTGCTGCTCTAAAGCACGAGAAATGTAAACATGTCCGAAAATGGAAGCATGGAGTGTAGCTACCAGGTATGTGGCCTACAGGTTTTACATGCATCTCAGCATCTCAGGAGGTTCATCTGTGACTAGTTAATCTCTCTGACCTTTGATCATGGTTATATAATTAAGTAGATGTCTGCTTAATGCACCATGCAGAGGGACCAAACCTCAACTAGGTGTCTCATGATTGTCAGGCATCATTGGATCTAGGATTGAAGTACTGTATTGGTCTGTTTATAAGTGCATGATATGACAAATGGCATGTCTGTCTGAGATTCTGTTCAACTGCTCTTATAAACAGAACCTTATTGGAATAATAGAGACAATCAGGTTATGTTCCATCATACTGATCAGCTCCAAATGTCAGTGCTAATAGTGTTGGTCTTTTTTGACTCACTTCATCCAAGAAAGTTGAATGAAACACTAAGAACATTTAATTGACCACTGACAGAGAATATCTCATCACTGTCAGTACAAAACTGGAGAAAAACCCTGCAATAACAGACTGATAAGTTGATTCTCTTGTCATCATTCAGCATTAGTTAGCATGTTTTTATTCTTGAGCATGTAGAGCTGCAACAGGTGATTATTTTTTATGATTACTTAACCTGCCTATTATTTTATTTTGCCCATTCAACAGTTCAAAGCCCATAGCTATCCAGTTACTGTCATATAAGCCAGAGAAAACAGGCATTTTCTTACAGTTGAGAACTGAGGAACTTTTATTTTTACTTGAAAAATCACTTAGAATTTTAATTTATTATCAAAATAAATGTTGATTAATTTCTATTGACTAATCATTAAAATCATGTTCTTGTCATAAATTAATTTGATTGGCCACTTGTCTGGTTGTAAGAATCTCAGTATTCATGTGCATGAAATGATCAACCACATATCCAGTACTTCACTGTTACAAATGATTGATGCTACTCTGGTTGGTCTGTGATTGCATCTGTGTGCAGCAGCTTGCAGTGATATGTCTGCTATTTTAATGAGGTCCAAATGTGCCTGAAATGTCATCCAAGGCTTCCTCTTTCCTTCTGCAAACACTGGAGTGTTAACTGAGGCCTCTGCATGCTGCTGAAGGCTGGTGTCCTCTTGCTCCCAGATGCCTGACAGCGTGCACTGCATGAAGCTGCTGGACCTCACTCACAGTGCTGAGTTCTGACTGTGATCTTAAGTAGATTTTTGTTTATATGTTAGTACGGTTGTGAGTAACGATGATCTTTATTATCAGTTAAGCTGCTGATCATTTTCTCAGTGAATGAAGAATGAATGGAGCAGACTTAGATGTTAAAAAAAAGTGAAAAAAGCTGTTTGTAATTTCCAAGAACCCACAGTGCATCTTCGTAGTGTTGGTGTTGACTGATCAGCAGTCAGATACAACAAAGACAAGCAGCAAATCCTCACCTTTGAGAAGCTGGAACCAAATTTGATTGACTAATTGGTTAACTGACTTATTGTTGCAGCTCTGTATTTTACACAGCGTTTAATGTCAGCCTTTAAAGTACAGAGAGTCACTAGAGCACAGACAGAGAGGGCTGCTTCATAAATATCATTGAACAGACCCTGAGTCCAAATGCGTTTTTTAGCTGTGACCACACAGAGCAGATTGGCCAAACCATAAAATTAACTGTGCTGGAAACTGGCCCTGAGGCAAGACTGTGTCTGAACCTGATGCTGGTACAACCTCCTCTACAGCCACCCAGTGTGGGTAGATGTTTGACTGACAATGCTGTTAACGCCAGCAGGACAGACAGCAGGGCATCGGTTAGAAAATCCTGATTCGGGCACAACCCCACATGTGTATCTTTGTCTTAGAAATTCAAATAAAAACATTTGTTCCTCCCATATCTTTATTGTCAGAAAATTACAGCTGCATAATAGTTTATCTTCCTGTTAATATTCAGATCAGCTGTGATAGCAGCCATCCCACCAGCCTCTGTCCTTCCCTAGGGAGTGTCTGTAGTAGTAAAATGCCTCATTGCTCCCACAGGCTGAAGTTGCCCCATTTGTTTCTATTCATGGACGATTAGCTTAAGCTGTTGGCTATGTTTAGTGCTCACTCTAGTCAGTGATGCCTCGGCTTCGTCTCCTTAACATAGACATTTGTGTTTGAGAAATGATGAGCAGTTCACATGTAGATTTAGCTTGTGGGCCTCTGTTGGTGATCAATGAGCTGCAACAATCCAGCAAAACAGGTCATGAAATGTTAGACATAAGGGAACCCTGCTCAGAATTGAATGACAAAGGTTGACTACGTGATGTCGGCTAATGCTGAGCTTTAAATATCTGTCCAGAAAAACTGGTGCCAGCTTCTTAACTGTGGGCGACTGCTGCTGTTCTCTGTGTTACATCATCCGTCGTTGTAAACTGAATACGTTGGTTTATTGAGCAAAACAAGTAACTTGAAGTCACTGTAAGTGATTAGTTGATCAGCTGAAAAGTAATCACCAGCATATCCTGATAATTTGCTATTTCTTTAAATTGGTTATCCAGTACAAATCCTACATATTCTCTGGGTCCAGCTTCTCAGTGCGAAGATGTACTGTTTTGTATTGTAGTCAGTTGAATATTTTGAACTGCTGGTTGGACAGAAGAAGATATTTGATAAGATAAAATCAACTTTATTGATCCCACAGAGGGAAATCGAAGCAGAACAAATGCGTGGACAATTACCTTTTAAATGTGAACAATACAATCATTGTCTCTATAATCTACCATTTTCTAGACTAATGAAAATAAAATCATCAACAAATTATTGCATAATGCTAATATTTGTTAGAGGCAGAAACCATTGACCATATTGGAACAGAAACCACTCTGTGTTACCAGAATAACCAGGGCTGATGTGACTAGAATAAATATGTTTTCTACAACCCCCCATGCATGGTGTTTGAGGTCCCCAGAGCCCAGACAGCTTTCAGCCTTGACTCCAGTCTTGTTAGCAGGGTCCTGAAGCTGTGCTCCTGCTAATAAGGGGTTAAACTGTTTGTAATACAGGGGAGCTTATCCCGCCCACATCATTTTTCCACAGTTTTTGCACCAAAGCCTGCATGCTGGCGTGCTGCCCAGCAGTTGTCAGGACTTCCAGGAGCAGATGAGTCACTGATGCAGATTGATTGGTGCAGCACTGAAGTTAGCACTGCGGTGGACCTACATTAGCTGCAGGACAGCTGACCTTTAAAAACACCCAGCAGGAAGTGAGAGCGCTAATAAAAGCAGCTGGAGTGGTTTAATGAGATGTCCAGATGTTGTAGTGTCCACCTCTAACCTGCTGGTGATGATGCTCCCAGAGGTGAAATCTCACATAGGCCTAAGTGACAGAACAAGGGTGTAACTCACTTATAGTCTCTTATCAGTGTTTGGACTTGAACTCTTAATGAGAGCTCGGTGTGTATTTCTTTACATTAATGTTACTGCAGCTGATCATAATAATAACTGTAGCCAAGGTTCAGGGCACTTTTAGATCCAGGCCTGTTTAACACAGTGCCTTGATAATCCTCCTGATGCAGTCTGAAAACGGCTTTTTGTGATTTTTTTAATTAAATAATGGTGGTTTTGTCAGGTTTATTCTATTCATTTATTTCTGTTCAACTTGTGACAGCAGCTCTGCCTGTATTCATACTCGATAATCTGAAAATGTATGTAGGTTTAGTTTTTTGTCCCCATGGTACTGTATCGGTATGTGTGTGCTTAACAGTATCACTGTACTCTGGTGCTGTTTTTGCTCTGTTCATACTGTTGCTGATGAATATATAAATGCCATTGTCACTCTTACTAATTATTGTTCCCTCTGCACACTCTCTCCCTGTTGCTGATCTTCTTGCTTTGCATTTGTAAGTATGTTTCTGTTTTCATTTAAGTGTTTAAATCCATTTTTCCAGTTGAAGCAGAGGTTTTCTGTGGAAAGTAGTCACCCTGTTGTCACCATGAAATGACCTCACATCCTCCCAGCTGTTTAGAATGACTCCCTTCCCCTCTACCTCACCTCCATCCATCCCTTCACCCCCCTTTCTCCCTGCAGACACTCTGATGTGTAGTCCCTCCTCAGCAGCGGTCAGAGATGGACCACAGCAAAACACAAATTCAGACTGCGTGAGAAAGATTTTTAACTCTGTATTAAGTCAGAATATCAGGTACAAAATGGTGAGACATAACATATCTGCACCGTTACACTATTACCGTATAGTGTTTAGTCCTTAGCGTGTCAACCGCCACATCATTACATAGCTGTAGTTAAAGCCAGGAATCAGTTCGTGTCCATGTTTACTCTTCCCACTCAGGATTCCTGCCTTCCAACATTTAGCGGAAATTGGCGCAAAAGCTTCGAGCTAAGAATTTGTTACAGTAAATACAACATGGACTCAGGACAGAGACTTGGTCCCAGTATGACATCTGGTTTTCTGCAGCAGTGGTGCTCAGCATTTCCATTAATTTATTAAAGTTTGCAATTAGATTACAACTAACATCTGTGATAAGCTAAAATTTACTGATAGCCGTGTTGATGTGCTTGGTCAGGCATAACCTACAGTGAAACATGTATGTTTATAGCTTTGTCATAAACAGTCACTTGTTTCTGCTGTTTTTGTTTGAACTGCCCAGAGGAAGAGCTTTCCTCAGCTAACTGGTGTTTAAGATCAGAATTTTAGCTCTAACGCTTCTCAAAATGATCCATTTTATAGTCGGTGCATGTGCTGTCTATCTAAATTATACATGGAAACCATTCTTGTTCTTCATTTGATGATTTCTGTGAAGACCTCAGTACCCATCATCTTTTCTAATTACAGATTTGGCTCATCACCTTGATCATACAGTTTTATTAACTTTAACTTTTATTAATTTTCTCTGGTGGGGGCTATAGTTACCTCATGGCTCACTGCTCCTGAATAATTCAGAGAAAACACTGTTGGTGTTATATGTCTACTCTCGTGTCCCAAATCAGTTTGATTTCTGGTCGGCTGCTGAGGGGAGCAACCACTGCTTTGCCTCCTGACATCCTCTCCCTCCACTCAGGCCAGTGGCCCATGATGCACTGCAGGACATCATGAGCCTGGGTGCCCAGAGCTTTGCCCGCATTCAGTTTAGTGTTATATAAATCTTAGCAGAGAGCCTGCTGTGAGCTGGTCACCCCATCTGCTTCCTGACACACTAACTTTGCTCCTAGAGATGACTTGGTGTGGAAACACTGCTTAGAATACCAGCCAGGCCATAATACTGGAGGATAAAATTCATCTGGCACCAGGTTTACATCATGGTCTCCATTTGCAGCAGCAAATTACAGGATGGCTGCCTTTCAAGGAATGTGGATAATGGAAAGGAAAATCTGGTTGAGCTAAAGTCTGCTGCTCACTGTGCTGAGGGATAAAAAGATGGGAATCACATGCAGCGTTCCCATCATTTGCACATCATGTTGGAATAGGACTCAGAGCAATTTCTGAGTGTAGAGCGCACGTGTGTGCATACTAGCATTGCGTACTGAAATGTATCCGGTATCGAGAGTTGGCATTGAATTCTTGGCTGGATTCCATCTTGTTCTTGCTCTTTGATTATGCATGTCATTAACTAAAGTGCAAAGCATATCCATGTTTAGGCAAAGGTACAGTTAGTTTTAAAAGTTTTTTTTTATTTAACACTCCATCATTGATCAGTTTCACCTGTTTTGTTTCATGTAAAAAATAGTATACTGCAGACTAAATGTAACAAAATGTTTATCAGTACCAAAATGCATAATGACACAAATATTGAAGTTTTAAATGATATTAATCACAAGTCAGTGATGGTAAATAGGCGTATTTCTAACAAGAGGAGAAGATTGATACAGTGCTATAGCTTATAGTCTGCAGGCAGCCAGCTGTGGTGATGCATCGACACTTTCTCTGCAGACCCTGGACACTGTGCCTTGCTGCTCGTGTCTGCTGTTATTTTTAGCAGCCATGCTGGAGTGTGCAGTGTCATTCAGCAACGTGTCTGAGGCCTTGCCAAACCTCCACGTCACAGCTGCAGCACTGGAGGCCCATTCATCACAATTCACAGATGAGGCTTTTACGTAGTCGAGCTGCACAGACCTTCCAACATCACAAACAGCGTGACTGAAGATGCCTTTAAGGCTGCGTCCTCTTCTTTCTCAGTCTGTGTTGCTTGTCATGAGATTTGTTGTTTCCTGCTCTATAAGTTCCCAGGATTTACCCAAACCCAAGCTGGATAAATAAATATCAAATAGGAGTAAATTCACAAACACCAATTCCTCATAAGGAATCCATGTTGTGATTAAAGGGTTTAGGGTTAAATTTTAGCATTTGGGCAGCTTACATGTTAAATACAGCCCTGGCTGGTATTCTAGCCAGACAGTTAACAGATGACATTACAGTGGCCTTGTAGCAGTGTGTTAACCTATGGAAAAGTCGTGATCATACTTTTCAGCTGAACGTGAAAGTCTTCCTAATCCTAAGTCCTACAGAACAGAGACCTGGCAGCCGTGTCTCTCGCATTACGTTGTACTGTAGAAATCTTTTCCACAGGTTATAATACCCAAGTGAGGCCAAGGTAATGATTTCCTGTGCAGTGTTACAGTTTTTACTCACCACTTCTTCTCCTCCCTCTGCTGAAGCCCTCACTGTGGATTTACCTTTCTAACTCTGCTGTGTGTGTTTTTGGTTTCTCTGTGCTGCAGGAGGAGGAAGGCCGGTATCCTGCCCAGTCTGGAGGACCTGCTCTTTTACACTATTGCTGAGGGCCAAGAGAAAATCCCGGCACATAAATTCACCACAGTGAGTTGCATCTGAGACGTTAACAACTTGCAGACACTTTGACTGCTGTAAATAAGAAGCACAACATCCTAAACATACTGGAGGAAAAAATGAGAGGAAACCAAAATAAGAGCCAAAAAAAAAAGTTTAAAAATGCTCATGTTATTAATCTAAAATATGAGAGTTGTACATATATATATATTAGTGCCACCCCCACCACCACCTGTGTGTGTCTGTGTGTACAGGCTCTTAAAGCCACTGGCCTTCGCACAGGAGACCCGCGACTGAAGGAATGTATGGAGATGCTGAAGGTGACCTTGAAGGAGACCTCTGATGGAGCGCTGGACCGACATCTTTTCAAAAAGTAGGATTTCCTGCTTTTTAACTGAACTTTATTTATGTTACAGAAGATAATGGAAAACCTAAAACAATGTAAATATCCAGTAGTAATGTCCAGCTTGTTGTTCCACTGTTATTAGCATCAGTCTTTCAACTGTCATCAGAATTATTATTGCTGCTCAGCCCTGTGCATGCTTCTGCAGCAGACAAGGGTCATCACGCGTCATTAATTATCCAGCACTTTATGAACACAAAAAGAGGATTTTTGTGTTCATAAATCTGCTGTAAGTTTACAACTGGGAACAGAAGAAGGAGGGTGTGGAGTTGGCACTGATTGACACCCCAGAGGAAAGATGCTCAGAAGGAACTGGCTGACAGCTTGAGAAGCGGCAGCGTGGTGAGTCGGGGCATATGACGGCTCACCAGGGAGCTCCATACTCAGCGAACAGACCCCAGCGTCAACACTACTTGTACAACAAAAAAACAAGCAGATTCTCATATTTAAGGAGCTGGAACATGATATTTTTGCTAAAGAAATAACTGAAGCCATTAATTTGCCTGTTCATTTCCTTTAGTTAATTCAGTTCTATATTAAAGAGGATTTTTGTGTTCATAAATCTGCTGTAAGTTTACAACTGGGAACAGAAGAAGGAGGGTGTGGAGTTGGCACTGATTGACACCCCAGAGGAAAGATGCTCAGAAGGAACTGGCTGACAGCTTGAGAAGCGGCAGCGTGGTGAGTCGGGGCATATGACAGCTCACCAGGGAGCTCCATACTCAGCGAACAGACCCCAGCGTCAGCGCTTCTGGCCAGGATCCATCACGTCCGCTCCCTGGGCTTATTTATAGAGCTCAGGCTCACAGAGGGAAGCACGTGAGCGGGCAGTGTTTTCTCTGCAGGGATCCATGCTACAGGGATTAGACAGGGTTTCATGCGGTGGGATATGGCTGAGCCGCAAATCTTACAGCAGCTGGAGAGGCAGGGCTTCTACCTTCTGCCTTATCATCTGGAGTTGTGTGTTCACTATCTGTGGTCCTGCTCCGCTCAAATACAAAGGATCAGGACAAAATGCAGAAGCCCAGACAGCATTTGGCTCTGACGGATGTGTGTATATTTTATGCTGTTAATTTTTGTGTATTCTGACCCTGTGCCACTGGGAAACCAGGAAAAATCATATCTAAACAGTAGACCACCCACAGTGAAAGATCAGCACTATGGGAGTATGAGGATGCAGTTTCACAAAGGTGCAGCCAGCAGGATCATCGTGCTGACAGCTCAGTGACAGGAGGCGCTGAACCAGCAAACTAAACTGCTTCCCTAAAGACAACACACCTATTTAAATGGCATTCAAGTTGAGTAGCAGCTGGTACGTGATCAGCTGTTGTTACACCAAGGAGTTTGTGATGATTAGTGCTATACGAAGGTCTCAGACCCTGAGTAGGTTAACACAAACCTTGGTGTTTCCAAACTCCACCAGGAGAGACAGTTGTGGTGCTAGACCACTGGAAACCTAAACTGTTGTCTCATCTCCTGTCTTAGATGTGTCCAGAGCAACATTGTTCTGCTCACCCAGGCGTTCAGAAAGAAGTTTGTCATCCCAGACTTCCAGCCCTTCTGCGCCCACATCGACGACCTCTATGAAAATGGCAAAAATCTGTCTGGAGGGCAGGTGAGTGAGAGACAGGACTGGTGTAAATATAATGCCTACACTGCCCTGGAACAAGATCTTAATCATGTTTTTCTGGTTGTAATTGACAGCATGTAAGAAGTTGTTTGTTGGTATTGTTACCTTCTCCACGTTGATGCAGCTGCCTTGCTGTTTTACCATGATGCGAAACCTATAGATCATTTGCTGGTCTCTCCTGATCCTGGTGACTGTTTAAGTCTCTGCACGTTAATTCATGTAGACCACTGCCTCAGCTGCACTCTGCTGCAGGTGTTCATGCTGAAAGAGAAAAGAGCCAGATTAGATTTAGACTGATCATAATCTTCCTCATGAGCATCGCTGTCCATGTTATGGTACTGCTTTAAAAACCTTCTGAACTCAATGTGTGATGCTGCAGGTGGCAGACTACATCCCCCAGCTGGCCCGCTTCAGCCCAGACCTGTGGGGCGTCGCCCTGTGCACCGTGGATGGACAGAGGTACCGTTTGTTTACTCATGTTGGGTAGCTTTTGATTTTTACATGTATGTGATATACAGTGACTTAGGAGATGTTACGGCAAGCCGCACACCAACAGAGCAACTGGACTCAGTAATTGGCAGGACTCAAACTCAGGTCAGAGAGAGATATTTAATTTGACAGAGAATGGAACGGAAAGGGGGTGGCAAGGATCAGGCGCGGAGCTGCCGGCGTGGGTCGCGGGTGATCGGGCCGCAGAAATGACTGAACCACTGGAGGAGCCGCCCGGGGTCGGAGGAGAGGTCTTGGCACTGCGTATAGAGCAGAGAAGGAGATTTAAGAGAGGAGACAATAGGCAGATGAGGGTGTGATGATGCTGAGCACAACACAGGTGACCTGCGTATAGAGGACTGCTGGCTCCGGGCTGGAGAGCGGGCTTGGAACCCAGCGCCGAGGTATGCAGACAGGAACAAGGGCCCACGCTTAACGGACCCAGGCATTGGATGTGGACCCCCACCAACGATCGTTGCTCGGCAGCAAGACCCACGGAGACATAGGTGGCATGAGGCAGCAGTTCAAAACATAAGACACTCCTCCGTAATCAGTTCCAAAAATAAACAGAAGATACTCCGTGGGAATGAGTTCAAAAA